AGAATAATGTAATTGTTAGTTTTATGTGTCAACTTGGTGGGTGTTTTTGGATGAGATTGACATTTGAATTGATAAATTTTGGCTAAAGCGAGTTGTCCTCCATAATATGGGTGGGCCTCATCCAGTCCACTGAAGGCCTAAATAGAACACCAAAAAAATGGCTTTTCTTTTTGTTTTTTAATTTTATTTATTCATTTTTCAGAGAGAGGGAGAGCACAAAACCAGGGGGAGTGGCAGGAGGCAGGACCCTGGGATCATGACCTGAGCCGAAGGCAGCTGCCCAACCGACTGGGCCACCCAGGCATCCCTAAAACTGGCCTTTCCAAACAAGGAGAAATTCTCCAGTGACTGCCTTTGGACTTCATCGGCACCTTTGGCTCTTTTGGGTCTCCAGCCTGCTGGCCCACACCTCAGATTTTGGACTTGTTAGCTTCCATAACCACCTGAGCCAATTCCTTTCAATAAATGTCTTTCTACATACACATTAGTTGGTTCTGTTTCCCTGGAGAATCCTAACAAAAATAAGAACAGGCAATTCACAGAAGAAATACATAAGCAGAATAAGCATATGAAAAAATGCTCAGCTCCCTTAGAGATCAAGGAAATACAGATAAAACAACCATGGATTATCTTTTGTCATTAGATTGGCAAAATAGTTTTTATTTATTTATTTATTTATTTATTTATTTTTAAGTTTATTTATTTTTATTTATTTTTAAAGATTTTATTTATTTATTTGACACAGAGAGAGAGAGAGCGAGAGAGAGAGAGAGAGGGATCTCCCCACAAGCAGGGGGAGTGGCAGGCAGAGGGAGAAGCAGGCTTCCTGCATGAGCAGGGAGTCCGACGTGGGGCTCGATCCCAGGACCCTGGGATCATGACCTGAGCTGAAGGCAGCGGTTTAACCAACTGAGCCACCCAGGCGCTCCTATTTTTAAGTTTATTTAATTAAGTAATCTCTACACCCAACATGGGGCTCAAACTCACACCCTGAGATCAAGAGCTGCACACTCTTCTGACTGAGCCAGCCAGGTGCCCCCAGCAAAACATCTTTTAAACTGGCATATTCGGGGTGCCTGGGTGGCTCAGTTGGTTAAGCATCCAGCTCTTGATTTTGTCTCAAGATCTCAGGGTTGTGTGATCGAACCCCACATCGGGCTCCACACTCAGCAAGGAGTCTACTTGAGATTCTCTCTCCCTCTCCCTCTGCCTCTCCCCCCGCTCTTGCACTCTTGCTCTCTCTCTTCTTTAAAAGATTTTATTCTTTTTTTTTTGAGAGAGAGCACAAGCAGGTGGAAGGGCAGAGGGAGAGGGAGAAGCAGACTCCCTGCTGAGCAGGTATCCCGATATGGGGCTTAATCTCAGGACTCCAGGATCATGGCCTGAGCTGAAGGCAGACACTTAACTGACTGAGTCACCCAGGTGCCCCTCTTGCTCTCTCTCTTAAATAAATAAATAAAAACCTTTTTAAAAAATAAACTGGCATATTCAATGTTGATGAGTGTATGGGAAATAAGTTCCCCCAAATACTACAACTGAGAGTGTAAATTGGAAAAATTTTAAAGCAATTTAGCATTAACATTTCAAATGTGCATACCCTTTACCCAGAAATATTACTTTTAGGGATTTAACTCCCACATGTGCACTCAGAACCATGTTCACACATATTTATTGCATAATTATTTGTAACTGCAAAAAAATGGAAACACAAAAGTCCATTAAATGAGACTGGTTAAGTAAACTATGTAACATCTATAGTGTAGAATACTTGGCAACTGTCAAACTGATAAATGTAAAAACATCCCATGTTCATGGATATGAAGACTTAATACTGTTATGCTGGCAATACACCCCAAATTGACCTGTGGATTCAGTGAATTCCCTACCAAAATCTCAGTTGTCACCTTTTAGGATCAGAAAATGATCCTAAAATTCATATAGAACTTTGAGGTACCCAAATAGCCAAAACAATTTTGAAAAAGAAATTGGAGGACCCCCTCTTCTTCCAGTTTCAAAACTTGCTACAAAACTATAATAATCAAGACAATGGGGTACTGGCATAAGGACAGATACAGAGATCAATGGACTAGAACTGAGTCCAGAAATAAACCCTCACATTTACAGTCAATTGATTTCATCAAAATTAAAAATCACAAGGCCTGGCCAAAGGGGGCTGGGAAGGCTCAGGGAATGGGGCAAATGGGGATGGACCCTTTTATGTCATATTTCTTTCTGACTCTGAAGTTTGCTTCTTTTTAGTCCTATTAAAAAAAATGATGCACCCCTCCTTGATAGCAAAAAGCAGAGGGAGAGAGGTTCCTAAATCGAAGGGTTTAAGGACACTGGAGTGTTTCTTGAGGAATGTGAGAGATGTTCTGCAGCCCTCAGGGGAACTGTACCCTCTCCACCGAAGTGGAATGTCACTGCGTCCATTTGACAAGTGAATACATTTTGTTTAATAAATATATTTCACATTTCTTTGCCATAGTAATCAGAGTAATTGCATATGATTCATATTTTTCTAAAGCTTGGGCTCACACCTTGACTATTAATTACCTTGTCCCGTGAGAGTGAAGCCTACAAGGCCCATTGACTCATCCAGGACTGTTTGCCCCTACCCTTCGTCCCCAGGATGTTGAGCTTTTAAATCTTTCAGTCTGCCTTTTGCATTTTTTTCCTGTTAAGTGCTTTTAATCCTTGGTAAACTCAAAGTGACTGCTTCCAGAAACATCAATGCACACATCCCCTGATCTTTCTATAATCTACTGTTGCTTAGAAATCAGATAACATTAAGTAAAAATATCTGAAATATGTGGGGCACCTGGCTGGCTCAGTTGGTAGAGCATGCAACTCTTGATCTCAGGGTTGTGAGTTCAAGTGCCACTTTGGGTGTAGAGTTACATATGTACGTGCGTGTGTGTGTGTGTGTGTGTGTGTGTATGGAATAAGAGAAAAGAAACTGTGTGAAGGAAACTTTGGGTTCTTTCACAGAGACAGTTTATGATTCTTTAGAGAGCGTTTCTCAACCTCAGCACTACTCA